TTGTCGCCTTGATCAGAATCCTGTCTTGGCGTCCATTCTTTGTATCCCCTGTCCTCCATCTTTCTCCTAGGTGTCTACCAGACCCATGTTGAATGTCCTGTGGGTTGGGACAAACTCACCTTTTCTCTTCCCTGAGACAGGGTTAGCCCTGGGTATCCTGGAACTACCTGTGTAGATCAGTCTGCCCTTGAAATAAGAGATCCACCTGCCTCTGACTTATGGGTGCTGGGATTGAAAGTGTGTGCCACCATACATGCCTTGTCACTTATTTTTTTAATTTAAATTAGGAACAAGCTTGTTTTACATGTCAATCCCAGTTCCCTCTCCCTCCCCTCCTCCCCTGCCCCCACCGACCTCCTATCCCATCCCCTTTCTGCTCTGCAGGGAGGGTGAGGCCTCCCATGGAGGATCTTCAAAGTCTGTTATATCCTTTGGAGCAGGGCCTAGACCCTCCCCCAGGTTTCTAGGTTGAGAGAGTATCCCTCTATGTGGAGTGGGCTACCAAAGTCCATTGGTGTATTAGGGATAATTACTGATCCACTACTAGAGGCCCCATAGATTAACCAGACCTCCAAACTGACACCCTCGTTCAGGGGGGGTCTGGAACAATCCTTTGCTGGTTTCCCAGCAATCTGGGGTCCATGAACTCCCCCCCTTGATCAGGTCAGCTATTTCTGTGGGTTTCTCCAGCCTGGTCTTGACCCCTTTGCTCATCACTCCTCCCTCTCTGCAACTAGATTCCAGAGTTCAGCTCAGTGTTTAGCTGTGGATATCTGTTTCTGCTTCCATCAGCTACTGGGTCACTTTTTTTTTTTTAAACAAATGTCTATTAAGCCCTCAGGGATTGAGAGCTACTAAACCATGTGATCTTGGCCCATACAGAATTTACAACACATCCTGGAAATGATAAGTATTGTAAGAAAGAAATTAGCTTCAAGAGAACACAAATTAACACTGCTGAGCTTGATGAGAGGAAGACCTCAACACTAAATTGAGAAAACCCCACCTTGCAGCGGGCAGTGATTGAATATAACAAAGTAGATACAAATTTATCTTCATCTTATAAGAAGGAAGCAAATAATCTCTAATGTATAAAAGAAAATACTGGGTGAGAGGTGAGGATATCCAGTTCAATATGACACAGTAGCTGGTGTTGGTTTAAACTTGCAGAATCTAACAATAGGCAGTTTACTTTAGGCATATTTAAGCACAGTACAACTGAATAAAAGTTTCCTGGTGACAATGAACTCAATCCCATGTGCACAATAATGCTTAAAGCATGACTACATTGAAACTCTTTGCAAAGTACATGTGACCTCTTCCTTGGGCTCTACAGATTGACTGCCTGTGTGACCATAAAGATCTAGAGGAGAATCTGTGTTGTCTAAGTCATGCAGATAGCACACAGGACATCTGGACCATCAATTGTGTCAGGTCCTGCTTGTGACAGCCCGGCAGAGCCCTTGGTCATACCCATAGCACAGAAGTTATCTAGATTGTTAACCACCTCTGATCCTGGTTGTGTGAGCTTGGAGGGAGCCAAGCATGACCTGACAAAAAGCATAGAGGTCACCTAGGCTATTAGCCACCTCTGTTCTCAACCTTTTGGGTGGAAAAAAGGTTACACATCTTTTCCTTTGAAAATGCAATCCTGCATGTGGTTTCTCTAGTGCCATATGTGAGCCTAAGGACCTTTGTGTCCCCAGCACCTTTCCGTTTTCTCCATGCCTTAGAAGAGAGTAATTGAGTCCTACTCTCTTACTCAAGCAGCACCTAAGCCCTTCAACCCACTATAGTACTGAACTGCTGCTGTTGCTGTGAGGCCTAGATAAAACCCAATGTGAAGTGCTTAAACCATGCCTAATTAAAGTAAGCACTGCCAATGTGAGTACATTTAGCTGTTAACAATGTTTCTCCCCGAGTGAAAGCAAGGCATTCTTGGCAGGTCCACTGTGAAGAAAACCCTACAATTTGAAGACAGTGACCTGCTAGTGGGACAGGAAAGCATGTCCTTCCACCATACCAACTAAAACTTAGTCCAGAAGTTGGTGGAGTTTTGGATCCAGCAAAGTTGGCAAATATTTGCCTTCAATTTGTAAATCTTATGGTTTCTCACACCTTTACATGAGGTTTTAGAGAGATAAGAGACAAGTATTATCTACAGAAACTAGAATCTTGGCTTCCCAGAACTTATATCCATTCCCAAACCAACCCCATTTTGTAAAACGTATTTAAATTTTATGTAAATAATGAGTTACTAGGCATTTGTTAATTCATGTATCTTTTAAGTCAGGATGGTTTGGGGAAAGTTCTATTAGTTGGTGGTGCCCCCGGAGTGAAATCAAGCGGATGCAGAAAGTCAGCACATGTGTCTTGTTTCCAAGACTGACATTTATTCATTGGAAATCAGGTACTATGCTCTTGGTCCATCTCTAATTCCTAGAAGGTAGACCTTGGTCCTGCAGCCTAGGAATACAGCTTTTGGTAAATAGGATAGTGATTTATTTGGTTATTTAGCATAGGAATCTTAGCAGTGTCAGTGTAGGACATGTTTTCTGTGGTCCATAACCTTTTCCAGAAGACAACACAGAGGTGGAAATCCCTCATCTCGAAATGTGAGATAACTAGAAGATAGGTCTTCCTGCTAGGGTGTGGCTTGTGTCGTTTACTGGGAAGTGTCACTATCCAATGTTTCCCACAGAGATGTGAGGAGCAGGAAACAACAAAAGTCACATTATGACGCCACTTACATAACTGAAAGCTCATCTATGAACTAAGTCAATGACAGTCACAGAGGAAAGGACACTTCAGAAGTGGGACCAGCAGTGCTTGATAGCCCTCTGTGTGGTAAGGAAATGAGTTGCTGCAGATAACATCAGGTTCCACTGGGATAATGGTATGTGTGGTGCATTCCTTGCCCCCTTGGCATTCGGGTAGGCTGGTTCCAGCTATGCCAGACTTCACCAGATGCTGAGCATTTATCATTCCTGACTATGTCCCTTAATTTGAATAGCACTGCCCAGCTGGAATGGTTAATATTTACTGCCACCTTTGTTGGATTTAGAATCACCAGGAACCAAACCTCTAGGTGTTGCCTGTGAAGGTTTCCAGAGAGAATTAACTGAGGAAGGAAGACTCACTCTGTGTGTGGCAACATCACAGGGACTGGAGTCCTGTCTGACCAGAGTGTGGTGGTTTGAACGGCAATGGCTCCCAGAGGCTCACAGGAAGAGGCACTGTTTGAAAGGATTAGAGTGTATGGCCTTGTTGGGGGAAGTGTGTGGGGTGGGCAGAAGCCCAAGCTAGGTCCAGTGTCTCTCTCCCTGCTGCCTGTGGATCCTGATGTAGAACTCAGTTCTTCCTTAAATTGTTTCTGTCAAATTATTTTGTCACAATAAGAAAAGTAGTTAATACACCAATCATTGTGACTTATGTTAACATATAGTCTGGTGTAAGTGAGACCTTGTTGAGGGACTAAATATTAGATCCCCCAATAGACAGAAGGGTTGTGACTAAATAAAAAAAAATGGTAAAATTCCAAAATAGCTGACTTCTTCCTCACCCTCTGGACCTAAGACAAAAGCCTGACAGTTTAAAAGAGGCCTTGTGGGGATTTTTTTCCCCAAGCCAATAGGGCCCCTTTGTCTGTGTCCTGGACAATTTCAAGGTCAGACCAAGACAACTTTGGCCCAAACTTGTGGACCCTGTCTTTGTTCAAACTGACCAACCCTAAATTGGAGTAGGAAGATCAAAGACCCTTAAAATGGCCAGCCCTCAGGGAGAGACCAAAATTCCACTTTCTGGGTCATATCACCTCTTTGCTTTGCAGAATTCCACTTCCTGGGTAACATCACCTCTTTACTTTGCAGTGAACCTACACATTGTTTTCACCCAGTCAACAGTGATCAAGCTTGTCTGGCAATTCCTTTTATTGGTTTCTCGAATATTTAATGATCTAGGTATTTGATTCGTTAATAATATATCTCTTAGGTGCACTGGCTAGTTTTATGTCAGCTTGATAACAAGCTAGATTTATCTGAGAGGAGGGAACCTCAATTAAGAAAATGCTTCTTTGAGATCAGGCTGTAGGCAAACCTGTAGGACATTTTCTAATCAGTGATTAATGGGGGAGGACCCAGCCCATTGTAGCTGGTACTATCCCTGGGCTGGAGGTCCTGGATTGCCCTGTTTGAATTCTTGCCTTCTCTTTTGACCTACATGAAGTAAGGTTGTTGGAGCCAAATATGATATAGGCCTCAGCTCAATTCCAGGAGCTAGAATCTCCTATTGTCTTTTAGATATTGGCTGGTTACCTGTGGATGGCCTGGCCACAGTGAAGAAATATTTCCAGTTTGCATAACAATAGACCTAGGCCAGCACCCATCTTGGGGATGTTCCTGGGGGCCAGGGAGGCACACCTGAGGACTAGTGAGAAGTGTGTTGCAAGAGGCCTGAGGTTTGGGTACATGCATTCTAGGACCATCTCTAGGGTTAAGGATGTGTTTCCTAGTCAGCCCTATATACATGATAATAGATGCCTTCTCCCAAATACCCCATGTTTAGAAAGCTATTTAAGAGGATGCTTGAATAAACTGGGGTCTCCAGTACGGACTGAGAGTTCTGAAATTTCTCTGTCATGTTCTTAACATTGTTGGGTAGCTAGGACTTCCCTGATCCACACTCCCCCACTCAGGGTCGAACCCGGGGTTGTTTGGCTGGTTCTGAACACAGCCCCAAAGACATCAGTCCAGGATAGAGGACCCCTGTAGTGTAGGACTGATACAGGCCAGACCCTGGCATAAGGGGACTACTGCCACACATCCTTTGAACTAATACTCTATATTCTTCATATACAGAAGCTTAATTGGCAAGAGTCTCCAGAGAACTTGGATTTGGCCTAGGTCTGTGCCTTTTTTTTTTTTTTTTTTTTTTTTTTTTTTTTGGTTTTTCGAGACAGGGTTTCTCTGTGGCTTTGGAGGCTGTCCTGGAACTCACTTGGTAGTCCAGGCTGGTCTCGAACTCACAGAGATCCGCCTGCCTCTGCCTCCCGAGTGCTGGGATTAAAGGCGTGCGCCACCAACGCCCCGCTGTGCCTTTTATTTTTGATCATCAAAGAGACACATCTCTTGTCATACCTGTTGCATCTGGGAGGATCTGGAATTAGTATGGGACATTTGTTTTCCCACTTAATGTTTAGGGTTACACTCAACTGGCCAGATTGGGATGTTACCATAGACTGTAATTTTGGATGTCAAAACGACATTTTCCCAGGAAGAGGGAACTGTTACCTATAAGATCTATATCCTATACAAGTTAAGTGCATGTCACCTTCTCTGAGGGCTTGTGTCTTCTTGCTAAACAGAAACAGATTTCTCTTTTCATAGATGTTTTCTTTACTTGAGTCTGCCAGATTTTTCCCAGCATAGAAGTTTCTTTCCCTGTTGACAACCTTCATCAACAAATGCCTAGGCCATGCCAGATTGATGAGGTCTAAGGCATTGTCCCAGCAGTAAAGTAAGAAGTTCCCTATGTGGTTCAGGAGAGTGAGTCTGTGTGTCCTGTGTTTTAAAGTCCACTTTGGTGTCTTTCATGTCCCCATTTTCCCCAGCCCCTACTGCCATTGCCTTTGGGAAAGTCAGGTCACCTTTTTCATAGACCAGACGATGGAGGCCAAACTCTGGATCTCTCTGTGCCTCCAGCGCCATCATAACTATGTTAAATTCTTTCTGATTTGGAGTCATTGACCCAGTTGGATGGAGAGCAACTATTGTATCTTCAGGAAATCAAAGAATATGCCTGAAAATACTTGCTAGGTGAGCAGTATTGGGAAAGGGAATGAACATATGTGGTGTTTAGGAGAGAAGGCTTGGCAGTTCTTTTGGTGTTCTAGGTGATCAGATTAACAAGATGGCCTTTGTGAGCTCTTAAATTCTGCTAAACTCAGAAGCCAATCAGCGGGCCTGCTATGCGGCACAGGCGCCGGCAGGAAGCTCCGTTTCCGGCTTAGGCTCAGGGTCTGGGAAGGGGCTGTCTGTGGGCGTCATGTCGGGCCGCGAAGGTGGCAAAAAGAAGCCCCTGAAACAGCCCAAGAAGCAGGCCAAAGAGATGGACGAGGAAGATAAGGCTTTCAAGCAGAAACAAAAGGAGGAGCAGAAGAAACTGGAGGAGCCGAAAGCCAAGGCCGCGGGGAAGGGGCCCCTGGGCACAGGTGGAATTAAGAAATCTGGCAAAAAGTAAGCTGTTCCTCATACCTGAGATGATGGTGACCCTCTTCCCTTCCCATTTAAACATCTGGATTCCCTGCCAGAATAACGTCTTTGCCACCTACAGCTAGAATGAAGTGTCATCCTGGAGCCTGTTAAACATCTGGATTCCCTACTATAACATCTTTGCCACCTACAGCTAGAATGAAGTGTTATCTTGGAGCTTGTTGTACATTGTAATAAATAAACTTTTGTAAAAAAATGAATAATGCAATGGCTCATTGTCCTAGTGTTCAGCAATTCCTACCTCAGCTGTGAATTTAAAGTAAACCCAGTCTGGAATCCTACCAGAGCCTGCTGTTTCATCTCTGTTGTACTCTGAATTCTGTGTCACTTTGAATTAAACCAACTCATTAAAAAAAAAAAAAAGTTCTGCTAAACTCATCATAGTCTGTGGGAGTAAACGTCTCTAAAATAAATAAAGTAACTGCAAGAAAGGTTGAGGGTAAGTGGGGATACCAGTGTACACTGGGTATTTCTGATTTTGTTTTTGTTTTCGAGACAGGATTTCATTGTGTAGCCCTGGCTGTCCTGGAATTCCTTCTATAGACCAGGCTGGCTTCAAATTCACAAAGATCTGCCTGTCTCTGCCTCCTGAGTATTGTTCTGATATTTTTGCCCCCCCTCCAGAAAATGATGACATTCGTGATTATAAAAAGCTATCCTTCCCTTTTGCTTTGTTCCCACACTTCTGATCTACTGTTCTTTGTTGCACCGTTCCCCCATGGGGGTCTATCTGCTGACTGCTTGTTACTAGGGGCTTTTAGCTAAACACTTCTCATCCCCTCCTCCCTGCTAGCAAGTTCCTGTTTTCCATTCTTGTCTAAATGCTAATTCCTGTTTTGGGCCCACCTTTTGCTGGAGGGTCCTGGGAACGTAGATTTCTGACCTTGGGGATTTTCCACCATTCCTGACTTTGGTATTTAAGGCTCTGCCCTTGAAATACTTGAAATAATAAATGCCATTCTCCTTGTAAGAATGAGCTGCTGTCTTTGTCTTCATTTTACATCCTTAGCCCTTTGCCTCAGATCATTGTAGAGTAGCGCCGTAGCCACAAACACACCGGAGGCTTGTTACAGTTCTCAACTCCTTTTGTTTATGTTTCTCATGATTAATAAGGTATATTAGGTCATTTTGCTTTTCATTTCCTATTCTGCTCATCAGTAGATATGCCCACTCACTTCTTTTCTGTCTCAATGTGTTATTCAGTCCTTCCTCCAATACTTCTGGATATCCTTGTGCTTACTGTGCTACAGAAACAAAACTCTTAACTGGGTTTGTTTACATCTCTTGCATATATCTTTTTTGTTTTGTCCCCATATAAAGTTGCTAGTCTTCATGAATAGAAGATTAGTTGTTTTTATTTAAGGCTGGTTTGTTTTCCTCACATTCTACAGTAGACATGGGTCACATTTGTACTTTTAAATATCTTTCAGGTAGAAAGATTTGAAGTGGAGCAAAATATTAGCACCAGTGGGGCTATTTCTGAAGGACTAGAATTTTCAGGGCCATCAATGGAAAGTCTCAGAGAGAATATGAAAAAATACGTAAATTCAATTATTATGGTGGATTAAATAGCCTGCAAAGAAGGAGTCTTCTTGGAGAAAGCAATGATCAGAAGAGTCAAGCAACACTGAAGGTGTTTTTCACTGGGAAGGAAAGTCGTGAGTCCAGTGAATTTAGTGTAAGCTTAAACCTTGATACACTACAGAAAATAAATACCAATACCCTGTTTAGGAACAGTTCCAGAGAAAACCTAGACTGTATTAAACACCCAAAACTGCTTCCTCCAGAAGAAACCTTGTGAAGTGCAAGAAGGATGGGAATTCCTTCTCTCATTTATCAGATCTTACAGAACACAGTAATGAATGCCCTAGTTGCTGTGATGGAACACCACCACCAAAGCAACTTGGAAGGAAAAGATTTATTTTGCTTACACTTCCTGTTAACAGTTCACCTCATGGGGAATTCAGGGCAGGAACTCAAACAGGGCAGGAATCTGGAGACTTGAGCTGATGCAGAGGCCATGGAGCAGTGCTACTTCCTGGCTTGCTTCTCATGGCTATGCTCAGCCTGCTTTCTTATTGAACCAGCCCAGGGATAGACTGGGTACTCCCATAAAAATCACTAATTAAGAAAATGCCCTACACCTGGGACCTCTAACAGTGGAAACAGTATTTATCCCTAGTGCACAAATGGACTTTGGGAGTCCATTCCCTATGGAGGGATACTCTCTCAACCCATCAACCCAGATACACGGAAGAGGGCCTAGGCCCTACCCCAAATGATGTGACAGACTTTGATGATCCCCCATGAAAGGCCTCACTATCCTTGGGGAGTGGGTGGGGGGGTCGATGGGAGGATGGGAGGGAGAGGGAAGGGGAGGATTGATATGTAAAATAAGATTGCTTCTAAAAAAATTATAAAGGAAAAAGAAAATGCACTACAGACTTGCCTACAGTCCAAACCTATGGAGACATTTTCTCCAGGACTACACAGAGACATCCTGTCTCCTCAGAACTAAAACACAAATTAATTAATTAATTAATTAAACATTAAAAATCATAACAAATCAATGAAATTAAAAATAAGAAATTAACAAGATAAAGGTCAATCTAGAATAGTATTCCTGCAAATGTTTCATGGACAATTATAGTGAAAAAGAACTGTGTACACAATATTTATTTATTTATTAATCTATTCTGCCTGCTGGAAGATAGTTCTCTAAGAGGAAACCCAACAGCTGGTTAGTACTTATTAGCTGGAAGGAGCCACCCCCAAATCCTGAAGTGATGTCCACACATCCACACATGACTTTGTACAAATCTTGTTGCGGCTGCTGTAGCTCATTCCAGTTCACCACATTCTGTTCCTTACTTACTCTTACTCCAGGAGGAAGACCTACTATGTTCCACTGGATTTGGTCTCTCTCTAGCATTTCCCAATTATGGAAGAAATGTGCCACTTCAGCCTCTCACTTTTCTGTGTTTGCCTGCCTAGTGTAGGATGCCTTCCTTACCCTGAGGTCGTAGTCACAGACTTCTCAGGCATACTGGTACTTTTTCTAAGAACCTAACTTAGATCAGCCATGTGTTCCAGTTCTTCCAACAGCCCACCAGTAAGTGATTCCTCCATGTTTTTGGCAAGGAGCAGTATCTTCCTTTGTTTATAATCCTCTATTCAGGTTTTTCTCTATCCATAGTTTAAGTCGTGTTTGTAGAAAACCTGAGTTGGTGAATACTGAGTGCCTGAATTCATACTTCCTTCTCACCAATAGTCTGCAATAAACTGAAAAGTTATTACAAACATTCAGATCATCCATAGTACTAGCAATGCTAACAGACAAACACATATGCAACAGCTAGCTAAAGAAAGTACAAACAAGTGAAACCCTTCTTCCTTCTCTCCAGGAGTTATCGTGACTATTGACCAACCATCTAAGTTTCCTGATCTAGCAGTAGCTATTTATTCCTTCTCTTTCTTTCACTATAATCACGTTTGGCTGTTCCAGCATCAAATAGGTGCTTATCTTATCTTTGTAACACTAGTTCTCAGCCCTATTGTGGGCTGGTCACACAATACAGATTGCATGTATACACAAAATTGGGTCTTCAATTCTTAGGTAGATCAAAAGACAGGCTACAGATTTGGAGAAAGAATGGCAAGCCATATATAAGATCATGAGGTTTTGTCTTTCCTCACTGATCAAGTAAGATTAAAATAATAAATGCTGGCTGGCAAAATTCAGAGACTCAGTCTCTGATAAAAATGTAAAGTGGTATAGGCATTTTGGAAAATATTTGAAAGTTTCTTTTTTACTGAATATGTGATAGTGTCTTTCAAACCAGCTTGTAACTTTAAAGTGAATGACACAAAACCAATATTAAAATGGCCATAGCTGGTATTTAAAAAACAACTTATTTTTTGGTGGGGCAATGATGGTTCACACCCTTAGTCCCAGCATTGAAGAGGCAGAAGCATGTGAGTCTCTGTGAATTAGACATCAGTTTAGTGTACACTGTGAGTTCCAGACTACCCCTGAAATTTTATAGTGAGATCCTATCTCAATTTTTGAAAAACAATTTAAATTATGTGAATGTTTGTAGCTATGTATGTGTGAGTATCCTTGGAGTTCAGAGTATGCTGTACTATCCTCTGAAGCTGGAGTTACAAAGTGCTTGTGAGCCTGTGTGGATAAGGGCTGGGAACCCAACCAAGGTCTACAAGAGCACCAAGTACCTTAACTGGGGGCTATCTCCAACCTTCATGACTTCACTCATAATGAGATGAGTGAAACGGAACAGAATAATCATAGGGAAGAGAGTAAACTCCATTAGTAAAATATTACGTGGTGGAGGAAGGCCAGAGAGGTGGCTTATTGGCCACAACAGCTTTCGGTTTCTAGCATGCACATTGTGGCTCACAACTGCCTATAATTCCACTTTTAGGAGATCAAAAGCCCGGCACCAGGCACGCATATGATACACATACATACATACAGGGCAACACTCATACACATAAAAAAAAATATTAGCCGGGTGTTGGTGGCGCACGCCTTTAATCCCAGCACTTGGGAGGCAGAGGCAGGCGGTTCTCTGTGAGTTCGAGGCCAGCCTGGTCTAGAGAGCTAGTTCCAGGACAGTCTCCAAAACAATACAGAGAAACCAAAAAAAAAACAAAAACAAAAACAATTAAAGGCAAATATTACTTGGTGGGTTTGGCATCTCTGTCTCATAAATATATGTGTAAATATTTATGTGATGTGGTTTAATGTCTTTCTGACTCTGGGTTGCAGTCAGAAAACTTTGACAATAGGTTCGTTTACGCATGAATACTTACGCATGAATACTTTGCATGCACACCTGCATATCTCAGGAGGACATCAGATCTATTATATATGGATATAAGCCACTAAGTGGTTGCTGGAAATTGAAAACGGTCCTCTAGAAGAGAAGAGCAACCAGTGCTGTTAACCCTGTACCATCTCTCTAGTCCCAAGATTTGCCTTTGGGTAACTAAATTTGAAGAATTCTCTTGAGATGTCAGAGATGAGAGGATAGAAGACCTATGATAACGAAGCCTTGCTATCTTTGGGTTCAGAACAACTCCAGAGATACAAACTGCCGGCCTGCCTCCCTGATTCCGTCTCTGGTCTCTTGCTCCTGTTTGACAGGTATGTCAGAATTCAAGCACATGTTGTCTAGTGTTGGCTTGAGGAAATATTCCCAGAGAAGATCAGCCATCACAACCGCAAAAAGGCCCAGAGACTTCCAGGAGAGATTGCCTACGAAAGGAGAACCTCAGGCAGGCTACAAAAAGACCAATGCGTTTATTTAGGTCTGCCAGGGGGCGCTCGTTCCCCTCAGTGAGGCGACCGGCGGGACCGAGCCGGATGATTTCTTGCTGTTTCCACTACCGGCAAAATAGTGAGCCTGGAGAAGCACGGCAGGATGGAATAAACAGATAACAAATAAAAATAAAATGAAATAATAAAATAAAGCAGTAGCTTAACGGCAACAGGCAGGCTGTCTTCCACCGCTAGAGACCAGGGTTTGCTCGGTTCTGGAAACGGGGGGGGGGCTGGATTCACGCAAGGTCTGTTAGCCACAGCCTTCCTGAAAGCCCTGGCCCCAGACAGAAGCCAAAGCAAGAGGAAGGACCTATTTTAGCTTGTTACCTTTATTTCTTTCTCTGTCTTTATCGGAACTATCCCACACGGAATCCGATCGAACTGTCCTAGCCACGCACCCATTTGGATCCGGAATCTTGTTTTTTTTTTTTTGTTTTTTTTTTTTGTTTTTTGTTTTTTTGAAACCTTATACCTGTGAAACCAAATGAAAGCTTTTTTTTTTTAACCACAACCTAAAAGACTTGCACAGAAACCAGTGAGAAGGTCGCGCTGCTCTGTACCCTCCCACAGACCGGGAGGAGGCCTGGGGTCCGGTTAGTGTTGTGGTGAGAATCAGAAAAACATCAAAAGAAATTAAAAACAAGCATGAGAAAAGCGATATTCACCATAAGAGTGTGAAAGAGAGCCTGTCTTCCTGTGCCAGCAGAGTGGCGCAGCGGAAGCGTGCTGGGCCCATAACCCAGAGGTCGATGGATCGAAACCATCCTCTGCTAGGATACCTTTTTCTTAAGGCCACCACACTCGAGGACAACGAAAATCTGCTCTAAAAATCACTACTTCCAGGTGTCCTTCCTCCCAGCTCTAAACAACAGAAACACTCGCCTACAGAAAGCTTTCAAAATCCCTCTGAGCTGCTGCTGCGTACTGTGTATGTGGTGGTTTTGGTTGGTTAGCTAGGCTTTTTGTTTGTTGACTTTTTAGTTTTTGTTGTAAGATTCCAGCTCACACCTGGCCTGGAAGAATTCTTTGATGCCAAGTCAATGCTATTGGCGAGCAAGGAATGTAAAGTGAAACTTTCTGTATCTTTTCCCTGTTCAACATACTAATTCTGAAACTGAATAGAGGCTTAATAGCAAAGAGGAGCACAAAGGGTCTTCTGATTTCAGCATAACGTCGTTACAAACCGTGGGCTTCTCCACGAACCTGCGTTTGACCACCAGACGGCACTGATGGAACCCAGAGATGGTACCTCGGTCCCCAAGGCCGGCTACTGCCTTTCCCATTGACAGCTCACAATCCTCTCCGGCCAGCCTGCACAATTCATCCGTGCCATTGTGTCGTGTGCACTCTTGAGCCAACCCATCCCTTCCCTCCCCAAATACTCTGTAGGATTCAAATCGCCCAGAGTTGCTCCCAGCTCAGAGTTTGGAGAACTGGCACGCCGACGGATGCGCTTCCAGGTCCAAGGCCCGGTCCTGGCTTGGGTGCTAGACAATGAGCCCTATTGAGCTCTGCCCCCGTCGCACTGGAGAAAGTCAGTGCGGCGCGCAGACGGCAGATCCCAGGGCGAGCTGACGCAGTTATAGAGGCCCGCGTGTCACCAGCTCCTGGCATCCTCGCGCTTTTCTTGCACGCGTGGCCCAACCGTCACCCGAGCAGCGGATGCTTGGATTCGGCCACCTCCACCGACGTCTGAAACACCAGAAGCTGAAACCCGGCTGAAAGCTACCGCCCGCCCGCGCCTCCCCGCATGGGCAGCTACCTGGGCAAAGCGGGGTCCTCGCCGCGATCCCCAGTACAGGGGCGCGCAGACGCACGGGAGAAGCCTGCGACCCGCCGACCGGCAAGACCCCTCTACCAGGTCCACCGGGTGCAGCATGTCCACCGCGCCCAGCCCGTACGGCGACACAGGCCGGCCCGGAGGCCGCCAAACTGGGATCCAGCCAATCCCGCCGCCTTCGTCAGTGAAGCCTGGAGGCGCTTTCCCATGAAGAGGCCGCAGAACCCCATCATGGGCTCTCTTCCTTCAGACTGGTGGGAAAGCTACCTTAAGCGTAATATTTGGTCCCTTCGTCATCCTAGGGCCACATGGAGTCCAGTGACAGTCAAGATCTCGCCTCCTGAGCGGAGACCACGGCCCTTATTCTCAGCCTCAAAAGCGGTAAACTGCGCGGGACCCTCAGAGGAGCCACCAGGCGGGTGTGAGAAAGACCCGGTGCTGAAAGCCCTCCTGGAGTGCAGGAAGGGGAGAGCTAGGTGGGAAGAGCCACTGTTCCCTGACAGCTCGGACAGTAAAAGGAATTCCGCCTCTCCTTGGTCCGCCTTTAAGCCCCTGTTGAAAAGTGGGGCCACTGTTACGTTTGTGGCCAGGCCTGGGTCTCTGAAACGGCGCCTCCACGCCCAGAGCTCAGATCATAAACGTAAGAAGTCTAATTGCTCCTCTGTGACCTTCTTGGCTAACATATGCACACGCGGTCCCTCCAGCACTAAAAGAAATGCTATTACCAGCTCTTACAGTTCTTCCAGATATCTCTCAGAGTCCTGGAAGAGACATTTTTCCAGGATATCGGTCCAGACTCCAGAATGGCCACTGAAAAAGACAGGGAAAAGTCCTAATTCTCCCTCAGTTATACCCAGCAACTCTGGGCAGCCGAATGGGGAGATTCCTCCACTGCAATCTGGTCCTAGTGACCTGCTGACCACACCTTACCAGCAAGACTGTGTTGTCACTGAAGAGGACCCGACCTTAGAGAGGCAAGTTGGGCCAAACAACCAAACCACAGAAGCTACAACTGGGACCTTCGAGGACACCATTCCTGAGACCAGCGCTGGTATACGGCCTCCCTTGTCTCTCAGTTGGCCTTCTGAGTCAGTACTCAGTACCCACATGAGGCCTCAGCCGGAAAGTTCAAAGAACATGTCTGTACCACATGAGTGCTCACCGTTAGAGCACCTTCAAGGCATCTCTTCAGACTCCAAACCCTCAACTGCTTCCATCCAGGTGTCTCCAAGCTCTCCCACATCACCAGTCACTGATTCCAACTGGCCATCTTCAGTCCCTCAGGCTTACAGGTCTGCAGTGCCCCCACACTCCTCTGTCATTATCCCCACAGTACCCACCACACAAAACACTCTACTTGGGGTGGTGAGTGGCCCGATTCTTCATCTTCCTCCATCTGTACTTCCTGTAGAGACTTCTGCTCACTCAGCATTAAGACCTGTTCGGGGCCCTGGGCACTGTAGTGAGGTCAGAGATTCCTCATATTGCACAATTTCTGTCATGGCTGGGGCATCATCAAGCGCTTCTCTTTCCACAACTCCAAGCATCTTAAGGTCCACCTTCAAGCCTAGCTTTGGCAGTACAGAACTGTTCAAACCTATGCCTATGACAGCACCTGTGTCCACCAAACAGGCCTCTCCTTCACTAACTTCTGCTTCCAGCTATCTCCTCCATGGCCTAGCCACAGCCTCCTCTACAGTTACATCTGCCATTCCAGGCAACACATCCAAAGACCCTGGTGTGGACTTGAACATAGTAACTAGCACCACAGGCAACTCTTACCCTGTCCCTTCTTGCCACACTTTCCTGCTTGGGACTTCCCAGGGCTTTCCCCCAGCCCCTGATTTAATTTTCCCATGCCAACACCCTGCAGTTCCCACCGTTCACACAGTCACTATCTTTAGTCAGGTTCTTACTAGTGCCATCCAGATATCCCCTCTTAGAAGCACTGCTAAACTGAAAGGGGGGAGCAGACCTCTGCCAACTTTAGGGTTATCATCCATAAATCAGCCTACAGCGACATCAGGCATGTCCAGTGTGACTTCAGCACTCACAGCATCTTTGGGGTCAAGCCCCAAATCACCTTTTCCACCATCCCAAAGAAGTACTTCCCAGTCTTCTCCTGGGGCCACAGAAGGGCAGAAGCAATGTTCTCTCCAACTAGCTCCTGTCCCAAGCTTTAGTACCTCTTTCCTTTCAGGGAACTCAGCTGTGTCCCCAAGCCAGAAGCCACCTCCTACTCAAATGGTCCTCAGCAAGACTACCCCACCAGTTTCTGGCATCCAGTCAGGTTTTGGTAGTAGTCTGACTGGTTTTCCATTCAGTGAAGCTAGCTCAACCGCCCTTGGGGTTATGAGACAGAACCACCAGAGAGGGGCCTACAGCTCAGTGTTTGGCAGCACAGCACCGAGACCTTTTGCTTTTGGAGGATCAGTGACCCCTATGGACTGTGGGGAGCCTGCGGTCATTGTGGCTGCCCCACAAAGGAGCATGGCTGGTGCAAGAAAGAGTGAGACCCCAAGCACCCTAGCTCCCTTTGTACAATGCTGGAACCAGAGCATGCAGGGCTTGCCTAGACAGATCACATCTTTAACCAGTGTCACTTCAAGAAAGACCATGTCTGGGGCCCCCTCTCTAATTCCCTTTGCCCAGAATACCCCTATACCTGGAGCAGTTAAGGCTGGTAGTAGGCTTAGCTTTGAAATGTCCTCTCCAGCTGTGCAGGGTTCTGTGGGGAGAGATCCTTTCAGATCATGGGCACCTTCATTCTGTATTGGCACAAAATCAAAAATCCTAAGGAATCGGGAGCCAGGGCGCTCTCGAAGAAATCACACTTCCAAGAAATAGCCCACTCTCCCTGTCACATTGCAGTGAAGAGCCTCAACCTCTCCAATTCTCTATACTAAACATATCCCAGGTCAAAAGTGGAAGCTCTAGGTGTTCCCACTGTGTGTTCTAATCTGTCTTCCAAGAAAGTAGACCACCAAGTGTGTCATCTAGTGCTGGTAGGGAATGGGGTTACGTGGAACTAAGGCCCTGGAGCAGAGCAGAAACTCTGACTCCCTTTCCCACCCTCTCCTCCCTGTACAACTGAGAGCTCCACAAGGGCACAGCCTCCCGTTCGGGGAATGGCCATGGCAGGACAATAACAAGCGTCTTCCGGAGGAGATAGGTTGATCCTGCACCTTAGAATCCCTTTATCTGGGCTGTAACAGGAGCTTGGCTCTCTAATGCCACAGAGTCACCAAGTTCTCAGGTCTCACTGCTTTTCCCTCAGTGGTTTCCTGGGAGTGTTTGGGTGTGATCTGATCTGTGCTCAGTCTACTCTTGGGGGTCAAGGTCATCTCCGAGGATTCCCTTGTGCGTTGCTCTCTGCACCACTTTATCTCTACAGTTGCCCCAGTCTTTGCTCAAATTGGCAATGGTTTATTTTTAGCCCCATCCTTCTTCTGGTCAATTTGCCCTACAAGACTAACTAGTCAAGACTTAGCCTGTCAGACCTGAAAGGTCATTCCTCAGTCTGGGAAACGGAGGACTTTGGCCAGTTCCCTCCAGGATCAAAGCAGGTCAGTTCCTCCCTACTATCCACCAGCTTCTCCACTTGCTGCCCTCCACTTGGTGTTGTGGAGACCTGCTCTTCTTACTCTGTTGGTTTCTTGTGAGTACGCTTTCAGTTGGATTTGGAGGGAGAATGACCTGTAGGAGTAGTAGGAAGTTGGCAATGCCAGATTTCAGTTGTGTAAATCCATCTGCAGTTTGGCGAATGGGACCAGTCAAACAGCACTGCTTGGGGGCTGCAAGGGCTGACTCACCCTAAATGCACAGCAGCAGTTTGACATTGAAAGATGGTTTCTCAGTGGGCAGGCAGAGGAGATGGCCAGGATGTTGAAGCCTTCTTTCTTGCCTTTATACCATAGACCACAACAGGAACCTGCTAATACCCAAGTAGGGAGACCAAAGCTTACATTGCATTTTTATTTTTTATTTGTGCCTCAAAAATCAACCCTTTCTGAATTCACATCTTTCTCAGAGAGGGTCACCAGGGCATGAAGCTCTTGGGCCAAAAAGCAAAGCATAAGAAAGAGGGAACAGCAGACACCTAGCAGACTTCAGCTGTCAAACTGGTGGGAAGTTCATGAATAAGCTGGATATTGTCCTTAGGGCTTCTTAGCAACCTCACACACTAAGGCATATGTACATTTATTACATATTTCTTATTTTACAGATACCTTGGAGAAAATCTAATTGGAAAAATAATCTTAAGTTGAATGATAAAATAAAAAAATACATTGTTGAAAAAAAAGTCTATGATACTGTCAAGCTCATATAGATAATGGATAAGAAAAATGTTAACAAATTGGCCTGAAGTCACTCAGCAAAGACTAGATTTAAGCCCTAGTGACTGCAGAATGTGCTTATTCTCACCCTCTAACCATCCAAGCTAGAAATGCCTGACTAAATATCAGTGATGTTGGTATTTATTTGCTTATCAATTATTTGTGTATCTGTGAGATATTAGGGCTTGAGTCCAGGATTTCACAAATGCTAGGCTAGTGCTCTACCACTTAATTACATCCTCAGTCCTATTTCAACTTTAAGATGGGGGTTTATTACTGTGTGGTGTGTGCCTGAGCATGTATGCCATGGCACATGTCGAGGTCAGGGGATATCCTTGGTGAGCTTTTTCCCTCTCTCTACCACATGGGTTCTAGGTTTTAGAGACTGAACTCCCAACACCAGACTTGTGTCACAAATTCTCTGACCCATTGAATCATCTCAATGGTCCATTTTCAACTTTGAAAGATATTCCCAAGATTGCCATCTTATCGAACAATGACAGAAGGAAAATGTTAGACACTACCTCCTGTTCCTTGCAGTATCTAGGGATTGTTATATGCCTTGCACAGTCCTCTGTACTGGTCATTCAGTGGTCTCCTATTTAGGAGAATCGCCATTTAGTGTGGAATGTTAACTAGACAGTGATCCTAACACAAGGAACAAGAACCTAGAAATGGGAGTGGACCAGGCACTATCTTGACCAGGACTGACTTGAAACTTGAATTCTGCCTGACAGTGCATTTGTCATCACCAAATGAATCATCTTATTGCAGGTCAACCTCAACCATGTGTTCAGGCAGGAAGGGAAGGTCACCAAGATGTATTGAAGTCACTTTCAAACAGTCAGTTATAGCTATGGTGAGCAGAAGCAGGTGGTGGACATGACTGAAAACGATGCAACACAATGTGGACAGCATCTTGAAAACAATGGGTAGCTGGAAATAGACCAACATAGAAGCAGGTCTATACTTGAGTTTTAGATTACTCTGGTTGTCATGTGAAGAGGGAAAAGAAAATAAACTAGGAAAAGGCTTGGGACTTGGGGTTGTATAAGAGACTTTTTGGGTAACAAAAACATTAAAATGTAAGATGGAGGACTGTGGATGAAACAGTATTTTTCCAGCCTGTATGATGCATGGCTTTTATCCCTAGTACTGTCAAACTACAAGCAGTAGCAAACACCAGTAATTTTCCCAGCACTGCAGAGGTGGAGCCAAGAGGATCAGAAGTTCAAGGTTATCCTCCTGGGCCTGAGATAATTGAAACCCTGTCTTGGGGTTGTGGGGAGTCCACAGTGAGGCAAGGTTATGAACCAGAATTTGGGAAAAAGGCTCTAATAGGGATTTCCTCAGTTAGTCTCTAGAGTACTGATTATTTCTTTTCTAATGCTTGGACTTATTAGACGTCTCCAGGGAATTGCAAGCATGAACCTCCAGCAGTTGGAAACACTCCAGTACCAGACTCCAAAATCATTCCTATCTCAGAGTTCAACCCACCCTTTTTTCAATATTATTTATCTTTTTTCCACTCATCTGGGGTATCCTGAGTTTCCTTGGGAATACATAGACTAAGGTAAAAAGAATTGGCTCAGCTAGGCTGTGGTAGGGCACAACTTTAGTCCCAGCAATTGGGAGGCAGAGGCAGGGGAAGACCCTGTCTCAAAACAAAACACCTTCCTCTCAATAATTTGGTATTGCCTCCACATGCCCACACTGGCACCCACAAAATGTAATAAAAATTTTAAATATTTTCTAAAAAGAAGAAAGAAAAGGAGATGGACCTTAAGCCTACAGTCCTAAGGGATAAAGTTCAGTTTCTTGATCACTAACATTGCCCTTGAAGAATATGTGTTTTGTCTTTCCCAATTTCTAAAAGTAGAAATGAAATTGAGTTCCAGAAAACTAAGAAATGTTCTTGTTTAACCGAGGTCTTAATCCATTTGATATTTAGGAAAAAGTGTCTTTTTGGAAGATGGAGCTGGACTTCAGAGACCAAGAAAGCTGCCTTGAGTGGGGACAAGTCTCTTCTGTGACTGTCTGCAATGACTCCAAGAAGAATACATCTCTTCTTATTATCTCTCTATTCAACTTCCTTTAATGTATTATCTTGAGTAGGTGGACAAGTCTGGTACTAACAGAGTCTAGGAGTAGCTCAGAGACAACATCCTGGAGTCCCTGGATAATAAAGAGTCAGGTTATTCTGGGGCATTCGTGGGGTAGGGAGAGTGGTTAAGACTTTTAACATTCATGGTAATGACATCCATTTACAGATACACAAATATGAAGAAACATAAACAGGCACCAAACAATCTCCCTCTCTTCCTCTCCCCTTCTCTCTCCCTCTCCTCTCTACCCCCTCTCATGTATGTATTGCTAAGTATTGAACTCAAAACTTAAGAATGATAAGCAAGTGCTTTATAGTTATTTTATCCTTTAATTGTTCATTAAATTTGATAATTTTTGAGCTGAGCATGGTGGTACACACCTTTAATCCTAACAGTCTGTAGGCAGAGACAAGTAGATATCTGTGAGTTCAAGGCCAACCTGGACCTTCATAGAGAGTTCCAGGACATTCAGGACTACATAGAAAGACCCTGTTTCCAAAATAAAACAAATAAAAAACAAACTTGTTTTTATAATTTAGCTTTTTTTTTGTAAGATCTAGTCACAAATTGAAGGGCTCATTTAATGTAAAGAGAAACATTCAAAGGAAACTATTTTGTTGTTTTATAATGGATATAGAAGAATACTTCTAATACAATTGCTGCATAGACATTTTGGAGATTGAGCCTAGTATGCAATAAAGGTAGCAGACTATGAACTTTACTGTTTTAGGGGGGTGTGGATGCAACAGCAGGAAGTAACTCTAGAACACGCTAGATTTTACACCACCAGTATATCCATTAATTGTGATTGTCGAGCCCAGGAAACTAGTTAATGTTGAAATATTGAAATGCTAATATTTTGGATTAAAAATGAATATTATTAAAAACAAGTTTCTGTTGTTTGCTTTAATTCTTTTTTTTTTCCTTTTCGGTTTTTCGAGACAGGGTCTCTCTGTGGCTTTGGAGGCTGTCCTGGAACTCGCTTGGTAGTCCAGGCTGGTCTTGAACTCACAGATATCCGCCTGCCTCTGCCTCCTGAGTGCTGGGATTAAAGGCGTGCGCCACCAACGCCCGGTTTATTTGCTTTAATTCTTTAACATGTCTTTACACCATTTGGCATTATGCACAGTTCATGGCACATATTTGTGGCTTACGTAATATTTTGTTGAAATATGTGTGGTATGTCAATTCACATCTTGTTTAGTATACATTTTACAGATGAGTTCATTGCTAATGCCACAGAGAAATATAGCACTAATTTTACTTTTGAAAATCTGAGCCGGGCATTGGTGGCACACGCCTTTAATCCCAGCACTTGGGAGGCAGAGTCAGGTGGATCTCTATGAGTTCGAGGCCAGCCTGGTCTACAAGAGCTAGTTCCAGGACAGCCTCCAAAGCCACAGAGAAACCCTGTCTCGAAAAACCAAAAAAAAAAAAAAGAAAAGAAAATCTGTCTCTGGTGTTTGGCCTAATTTACAAAGCACCACTATTAATGAGTAAAGGAGAGTTGGAGTAACTTCCACTCCTGGAGTATGAATTACCCATTAAAATAGTGGGCTCCTGTTCTGTACAGGGCCAGGAATGATCCATGATAGTAGTGCTTTTGGTTTTGAATGAGTTTATTAAAGGTAAAGGTAAAAGCCTAGGCCATACTCAAGCGAGACAAAATAGCATGATGGATTCCTTTCCCAGCAACATCTTGTGAATAGGAGCTTGGGGCAAGTAAAATCAAGCTCTATCTGTGGACTCAGCTTTCAGCTTTTTTGTGTTGAGACCATGGAATTCCATCACCTTCCCCCCCCTAGGCTGCATATTAGTTGAAGGGGGGAAACGCTCACGTATTGAATGAATGGACTACTGTGATCAGAAGCAGCCATAGTTACAAAAGGATATGAAGTGTCTTCAGACTATATTCTTAACAGTGGAAATACACCTCAGCATTATTTCCTTTCTATTCTTCATCAATCTAAGTTTCCGTCATGGTCATGATATATTGATATATATGTATTGTTGATTCAGTATAACTGATTCCCCTAGGGAATCATCATACCATACTATATTAATGAAGTTTGTGCTAAAAAGAATATGTATGTTTTATGTGGTGTTCTTTGGCAGATGCAGAATATGAACCTAATTTTGAAGGGGGAAAAATCACACAAAACCCAAATTAGTAGTAGTCCATTTCCTTATCTTTTAAATTTGTTTCATTTGTGGGGAGTGACAGTAAGTCCTAACCTGCTGGCACTGTGTTTTTATGAACTGCTTTCTTACAGTCTAATTAGAGTGCTGGATCTGAGTAATAATTTACACAGAGTCACCTGTGATGACTAAAGAGAGTAATCTGGAGTCAGGAATCCCTCAAGGGCTGTTGACCTTTGCTCTGGAGTCCCTGGAGAGCGTAATGGCCTGCAGTTGAGATAAGAATGGATAATAGGCTGTGAGGAATCCACGGCTGCCTTTGCTTCTGTAAAACTTGCTTATACCTATGGGAAAGGGATGAAATGGTCTCTTTACTGCTATATAGCAGGAATGTAAGGAGCAACTGTGGGAAGTAAAACAATGTTCCTGCTCAGCTGTGGATTCCATGGATAGTTGTAACACACACCTTTCCGATATCCGATTTAAAGCCTTATGTTAATGCCCCTCCTGTATGGCATGCTGCTTGGCTCTGAGGCTGCTGTCCTGCTAGCAGTAAGAATAAATTTATTTAATCTAAATTTGAATTGAGTCTAAGTCTCTGGTTTCTCCCAGTGGCTTCAAACACCTGGCATATCTTGTTTTTATGTGTATGAATGTTTTGCCTTCATGTGTGTGCACTATGTATTTGACCTGAACTGGAGGTACAAATGGCTTACCCCTGTTCCTAGAAGAGCAGTGATCTTAAACACTGAGTCAAATTCTCAGACCTTCCATTTCTTAAGTGAGCAACGACTCTGACCTTCAAGATATGAGTTTCATGAGACACACAAAGGGATGCTTTGGAGATGTTACAGATTGGATGATGCTAAAGTACTATACACAGCTCCTATTCAAGCCTTTATCCTGCATCCTGCATCGTGCATCCTGGTCTGAAGAGAGAAGTGCTATAAATGCCACAACTGCATCAACCGACAAACTTGAACCCACGTGTAAGATTAAAACAGACAACCCATCAGATAAAAGAAAATATATTAAACTGCTAATTATATCATGGTTATAAACAAAATGCCTTTACTTTTACAAAATATGTTCTCACTGGGCAGTGGTGACACGCGCCTTTAATTCCAGCACTCCGGGAGGCAGATCTCTGTGAGTTCCTGGACCGCCAGGGCTGTTATACAGAGAAATCCTGAAACCGTGTTTTGAAAAACAAAAACAAAACAAAAGAACAGAAAAGAACAAAAACGTCCTTAAGAGCAAAGGACCATGATATATACTTACCTCTTAACTGCTTTGTTATTTGTTTTCCTTCAGGGGTGGTGGTGTTTGAAACAGACACCAGAGAGTGAGACCAGAGAGCAAGCCAGAAAGTAAGGGCCTGTAGAGGAACAGCGGAGAAAGAGGGTATAGATAAATTCTAGTAAAACTGTGTGGCTTTCTTACCATTCTGTTTTTTACACATCTTCCATAAACTTGAAATAAGCACTGAGTTTAAAAAGAAACCTTTAATGGGACTTAGAAAATAAGGAGTACTGAAACTCCTGTTGGGAGAAGCCATCTTCACTGCAAAGATAACAAAGGAGAGGATATCTGAGAAGATGGCAGTGGAGTACAGACACGAAAGAACATTAGACGTTGACAGGTTGTGTGCTGGGAACAGGAGAACTCAATCCCAGTGGGGAATGGAATCGTTGATAACTTCCTTGGAAAAGGATAGCACAATATGTAGGCCTACTCAGGGACCGACGACGAGGGTGGGATTCGAACCCACGCGTGCAGAGCACAATGGATTAGCAGTCCATCGCCTTAACCACTCGGCCACCTCGTCCTACATGTAGTACCGGCTCTTTGCCTCCATCTTTGTTATTTGATGATTCTGTGGTCTATATTATACCAACCTTCAATCTACAAGACTCTTTAAGGAATTTTCATATGTAATCATCTCCTTCCTCCGAAAAAGACCCTTTCTTATTTTTACGATCCCTTCGTAGTACCTACGCATCTCCATCCTCTATCGTCTTGGTTTCTCAGTACCACACTTGCTTTTCACCCTACATTGAAAAATCGTCCTGTTGTCTTCAAACTCCGTGTTCTATTTCTGGAACCTGCAACGTATGTGTTAACCATCCTCTACGGCTCTATTTCCTACCTTAGTTCTCGACTAACTACTGGGATCTCATTGGTCTCATAGCTATTTTTTGCTGAGGATAAACATTTATTTGTTTTCCATGAACCCTTTTCTTCTTGCACAATGTAGTCTACTTCTGCCGAAAAGTTTTATGCCAAACTCTGCATTTTTACGCTCAGAGACCCTTCCATGACCTATTGCAATAGAAGATACATCTGTAAACGGTTCTGATTTTTAAAGCTATTCCCAGTAATCATAAATCCATGTTTTCGGCCTGCTTCCTTCTGGCTTGAATTGTTTTTATATTTTAAGGAGAGTGGACACTAAAAGACATAACTAGAGAATTTTGATATGCAATTTATTATATATGAAAAGGGAACTTGCATTCAAAACACATTCTTTACTAGAAGGATTGAGTTTTTTTTTTTCATCACCTATTCATGTGTATACGTATGAAAAGGCATTGAAAACTCAATAGGAGCTAATGCCAACGGTGAGGTCATATATGGTTATGAGTAAATCCAGATTTTACAAGAGGCGAATTTATTATGAATGCTCCCTAAATTTAGTTAATGATGTCAGGCAGATTTGCGGTTATATAAAACAAGATAGCGATAACCAATATTTTAAACAAAAACTTTTTACAAGTCTAAATAGATGAAAAATCAAGATGCTAAATTACTTTTTAAAAAAAGGTACTGAGCCGGGCGTTGGTGGTGCACGCCTTTAATCCCAGCACTTGGGAGGCAGAGGCAGGCGGATCTCTGTGAGTTCGAGGCCAGCCTGGTCTACAAGAGCTAGTTCCAGGACAGCCTCCAAAACAATACAGAGAAACCCTGTCTCGAAAAACCAAAAAAAAAAAAAAAAAAAAAAAAAAAAGGTACTGAATTCCTACTATATATGTGCTCTCCCTGTCGTTGACTACGGGTTGTTATTTATTGAAAATAAATCAGCCTCCTTCCTCCACCGCTAAATCTTATAAAATAGCCTCTGTCATTGGAGACTGCAGACGCGCTGTTTCCCGCCGTTATTTTCTGTCTCAAGAAAGTGTGACTTGTGCGCTGTGAAAATGAAGTGATCTTGCAATCATGAACACACAGCATCTGTAGGTGGCTCCCTGAATGAGACCTGTATGTGAACTCGCACACGGGGGTAGACTCGTTATGAAGGAGATCAGCAAAAGCAGGAGGGAACAAAAGAGGGTAATGGGAAGGGAAAATGGTCACAGCACATTGTGTACAAGTATGAAATTGGAAAAACAAAAAACTTTAAAGGAAGATGTGACAGGAAAAGCGAGCGTGACTTTGGAAACCGGTGGTACAGACTCTGGTAGCGGTTCCCACGCTAGGCTCCAGCCTTCCTTGCCCTCGCCAAACCCTTGCGAGCTAGCTCTCGCCAGCGCTTTCACAGAGCTGACAATTCAAGAAGCTCCACCCCGGTCACATGACGTCACCATCATCGGTGTGGAGACATTCCCAGTCTCTGCTCACATGACGTTTGCTAGTGCAAATTGGTCAAGCTTGGATCTTTCTACTCACTGGCGACTCTTGAGTCTTCTATAATTCCTTACTCAAGAGGCGAAGACGGGAGGATTAAAAATTCCAAGCCATCTTCGGCTACATAAGACCCCCTCTCAGAGAAAACTTAAAAAAGAAAAAGTAAAACATAAAAAAAAAAAACCCAAACCAAGAGAAAAAGTTCAAGTCCCGACTTTCAGTAGACAGAAGCAAGAGGGTTGTCGCGAGTTTAGGACTGAAACAGGAAAAACGTGAGACTTTTTTTTCGAAAAACAAAAAGCAAACTCTCCCGTACACAACAAAATAGCTACTATTGCTCTCCACACTAGGTAGATTTTATTTCCAGTTTCCATTACAGCTTGGAACTATTTCCTCTGGGTCTTCACTATTAGGTGCTTCCTCGGCCTCCCCAGTTGTGAGCAGATTTCTCTGGAGAGTTCTAGCTTCCTTCTGCAATTCCCTTTTGAGGTTTCTTCCTTTTTTTTCTCCCTCTAAAAAACAAATTGTAAGCAAGAATAAAGTCACTTAGTTGGTGAATAAAGGTATTAAACTATATTAAGATGTGATTAACAGGAATTAATTTCAGAGTATTTAATGAAAACTAATTGAATAAAAAGAAGTGCAGGTCCCACCGAGATTTGAACTCGGATCGCTGGATTCAGAGTCCAGAGTGCTAACCATTACACCATGGAACCCCACAGGGTGCAGCTCAGCTTTTAGGCCCCTCCAGGGGTTCTATTTGAACAGAAAAATAAAAATAATTTGTTTCTTATTTATTTTTTTAGTTTGTTTATTCAGACAGGATCTAGGTCTGTATCCTAGAGTAACTCCAAACTCTTGACAACCTTCCTACCTCAGCCTGCCTGGGACTTCTCATCTCAGCTGTGCATCTAACTCTTCCTACTTTAACAGAACACACTGCATCCAAAGACCAACAATTCTTCCCTACACCCACCCATGCCCAAGGCTTCTCTCCAAGTGGTTCAGGAATCAAAGAACCAGGAAAAGAGGTGAAGTTACTGAACAAGACACTTGCGTGTGGAGTTTTGTGAGTTCCTCAATGGTTGGACTCACCCAAGATTCAGCCACCAGGTGAAATGGGCACGAGTATCTATATCACAGACGAGGAGCGCGAGTCTGAGATCCATCTCTCAATTTTGTGGCCAGATCTGACATGTTTAAGGACACATTATGGGAAAGATTTTTTTTTTTTTGCAAGTTCTCAGGGATGGACCTAGACCTTGGTGTTTACAAACACTGAAATAAACCTGCTGAGATTACCTGGCTCCAGGAGGATCTGTGAAGCCCTGTGAATGACAGGCTTAAGAGGGGGCCGAGAGGGGTCCTGCACAGGGCAACTAACTGAAGCCCAGACCCGCCCAGAGACAGCTCCTGCCTCGGCAATCCCCGCAGGCCCACGTAGGACTCCATGCTCTGAACATTCGCGTGCATTCACGTAAACTAGGTTTCCCTGATGGGTTGCAGTGAGTATCTTTGTATGTTCCTGTCAACATTGAACGAACGGCCTGAGCACAAAAATTGTGACACGATTTTAATAAAGAATCATAAGCAATTTTGTTGTTCATCGGAGTTCAAAGTTGCTCTCCAAGTAGTTCGCCTGGACTCGTTTCTCTTCATTAAAATTCGCCAACTAATCAAGTTCTCTTCTACACAAGATACCTAAGGAGAAATTCTAGGAGGGTACGCCACTGGGTATCCCCGGTGACATGCAAACACTCCCAGATTCCTTTCTGAAAGCAATACTGTGACCCCTATGTAGCAAAGATCGTGTCATCATCGTACAGATACTACAGATGACAAAACATTTGCCACTGCTAATATATGAAAGAGGAAGAGCATCTGAGTTGTCTGATTCTGAGAACTAGGAACACCATGTTAGAGACCTCCTCCCCCTATTCTGCTTTAAGATATGCTATTGAGCGAAGTATGTCTTAGATCCTCTAAAAAATGTCATTGCTGGGGTTGGGAGATGGCTCAGCAGTTAAGGTTCACTCAGACCACCAGGTCTCCGCAGGCACCCAAACACACATGGTATACACTCATACCCATACATACAGATAAATAAAATTGTTTTTTCTTTTTTAAATTTCACTACACCAAGCATGATATAACACTTCTGTAATCCCAGCACTGAGGAAGTGAAACAGGAATTCAAGGTCAGTTTAAGGCTACAGAGACAGTCTCAAAACAAATAAATAATAGGAAAACAATAAAGAGTTATACATAATAGTTTTAATGAAAGGGAAAAGCATGAAAGTTCACACTGGACAGGGACTCTCAGCAACCACCGGCCCTCTGCTAGAGAGTTCCTGAGAATAACATGGTGAATAGGCAGCTGGTCTCTTTGCTGTGAAAAAGAAAACTTGAGAGTTGTTTTTAAAAGTTTAGAGTCATCATCCCCCTGGGGAGGCAGGAAAATCTCCCTTGAAATGAAGCCAAGTGTTTTTATTTTTCCTTTCAAAGGGTCACAGTGCACACCATTATTATGCTCAAATTAAAAACTCCAAAAGGGACATATTTGTGAAAAAGTTGCCATTGTCTGCTTGCTTTTAAGTAAAGGTGTTGGTGAGAGTCAGGAATATGATAACTGCTACACCACAGAAACAGCACACCCTACCTGTTCTTTCTTTGTTTACAAAGAGAAAACTTTCCGTCTGCCCAGGGTTCTCCAGCACTATTTTTTTTTTAACTGCAAAAAGATCAGAATGATTGAGCCTTCTTTATGCACTAATATTAGCAATAGGGAAGTCTATGAGTGACACTAGAGAACACATCTGGGAGAAATTCTCTTTCCCAACAGCTGCTCACAAATTTGGGTTTGCTTTCCAGGAGGTATTAAACATTTCCTCCATCTTTTTTCTTTTCGGGTCATCTGTCTGTCGGACATTCTGGGATCTTCGTCTTGTAGGAACAGAAAACTGTCAGGACTATCTCTGCACGAACACTACTAAACAGACAACGTGCCTCCCCCCTTGACAAATATGGTAGTAGCTTTACTGGAATGAGATTTCAAAGGCAATCTAAGACATCTGGGGAGAGGATTTTATACCCATGGGTGATTTTCGTTTTAAACAAAATTATTTGAAGAAAATAAAAAGCGGAAAGGAAACAATGTGGGTCTGCGGGTATTTAAAATATTTTCTTCATATGCGAAGATGCTGTGTGATTCTTATCGGGAAGTGACAAGATTAGAGCCGACTAGGTGGCTGAACCCCCCCCCCCCTGCAGTCTGTGCTCTGCTGCTCAGACCAGGTCAGCCACCCAAGCTCAGCACCCAGTGGCAGCCTCTGAAGAAGCCGAACCACTGGGCAGCCAGCGAGTGCTTCCCGGAAGATTCTGTTCTGCTGAGCCAAAGATTGTGAAGAGGACGAGGACTTGGTGCCCCTTTAAACAGAAGCTCCATCGTTCTTGTGTTTCACCTTCAGGATCCTCTGGACAGCACTAAGCAAAGATAAAACAGCGGTGGCGTGGGGAAACACAAAATCAAACGATTTAAAACCCAGGTTCTTTGTCCCACGACAGCTTATTGGAGTTTATGAGTGCGTTAGGGAATGAGCACTAACCAACTACCGCTGGAAATCATTTTTCCTTCACATGTTCACCTTTTATCCCATGCCTAACCCGAGAGCAAAAGGATGTGGAAAACTGGGTAAGACTCAAGCAGCTGAGTGGGATAACATTTTGTGCAATTCCAAAAGATGTGCTGAGGAAATAATAAGACCATTCTTGTGTGTGTGTCTAAAACATCTAACTTCCCTGCCATTATGTTACTGAATGTAACATTTTTTAATATGTATGGGAGTTTTGTCTCCATGTAATAGGTCTGCTGCAATGTGATACAGTGCCATAGAATTCCCGGTTTGGTTGTCCTATTTTCCTTTGCCCACTCAATCTAGCTGTGTTTAGAGTCTCCAGTGCTCAATTGTTCTCTCAGATAATATTCTTCCTCCTGTAACAAGAGCTGGTAACAGACAGCTATGCAAGGCAGAGAACCTCAAGAAGAAGAGGCATTCCCTGCCCAATTAAGGTGATTGGAAAAGGGTTACTGAAAGAAGGGAAATGGGGCTAGTAAAGCGTGGTGATCTCAAATCTTTCCAAATCAGTCCTGAAATCACCCCTTGCCTAGAACCTATAAAGTCTCTTTGATTTAGTTCAGAGGTGCAGCTTCTCCCACCTGAATCTCCAGGATCTGGAGAACAACTCACTCGGGAGTTGCTTTGTTCAAATGTTACAGATTTTCAGTTCTGCTTGATTTGTCTTACTGCATTGGTGAAGAGAAAATATATGTGGTCAAAGGAGAGAACCAGCTTCCACAAACTGTCCCCTGATCACCATGCACTGATCACTATGGTCTGGGATCCACACACATACACATCTATCACACTAACAAATGCAATAAAATTTTTTCCTAAATCCAAACAAAGAATTTGATTCTTCATATTTCATTTCTTCCTATTTTTTACTTTTATTTTTATGTAGTTTAGCATGCAAAGTAATGAGTTTTGTTATGGAATTGTCATACATAAGACTATTATACACTCTTATTCATCCCCTTCCTCATTGCCCTCTGACCACCTCCTTTTGGTCTCCCTTCTCCGCAATAGTAGTCCTCCTTCTGCTTTCATGTCCATCTATCCAATGACCATCTGCCCTCTTCCCCAACCCCCCTTAAAATCTCTTGGCTCTATATTTTTCTCTTTAAGTTCACATATTCCAAATTACTGAATTCAAAACAAAACAAAACCAGAGCCCATGCCTGCTGGAGTTCAGCTCCAGAAGGGTTCAAGTCCCAAAGAGGAGTTGTGGAGTTGGTGGGGGAGTGGGGAGGCGGATGAGGAACTGGGAACTGAAATGATTTGAGGGCAAATAGGGATGGCTGCCCCAGTGTTTACACTTTTTGGGGGGGGGTTTCAAGACAGGGTTTCTCGTGGCTTTGGAGGCTGTCCTGGAACTCGCTCTGTAGACCTCGAACTCACAGAGATCTGCCTGCCTCTGCCTCCCAAGTGCTAGGAGGATTAAAGGCGTTCGCCACCAACGCCCAGTTTAAGGCTACACTTTTTATACTCAATAGTTTAGCCACAAGCAAGATTGAAAGCAGGATCAAAGATTGAGGGACAAAAGTGGCCATTAACTTCATTACAGCATTTTTCCTGAGACAAAAGTGATAAGTTCAGCAAGTATCTAAATACTTCAAAGTATCAAAATGTCTCCAAAGTTCAGTAACTGTACCCAGGAGCCCTCCTACATTAATAGAAGGGCCATAAATTCTTCCTGCCAGAGATAAGGAGAATGACTCCCTTTAGCAAGCAGACACTTTCTTCCAGGCCCTGAGGGAATGGAGGCTCTTATCCAAACACCTAACCTTGAGAAAAGGATTTCTTGGGACTAGATACTTTACTACAATTTAAAAGCAATTCTCATTCAAGGAGTCAGATGCAGATGCAGCATAAGCATTGAGCTGTTCCCTAATTGCATTCATCCATGGTGACAGGTGTGTCTGATTATTAAATCTCTAACTTTCCGGTTCTTGGTGTAATCAAGAAGGCACCATGGGATTCCTGTGTGCAGAATCATCTAGCTATCTGGTTCCATGGTGGTGGGGATTTTTTTCCAAAGAATTATTTTGTTTAAAGAGGCTGCCATTTTAAACATCTTCATCCTTCAAAGTCTACATAAAATTTCCCAAAGGAAAAAGCATAAAAAACTCCCATTACAAATAATCATTAGACCCCAGATTGAGGGGTCTCCCTAAAACCACCAGAGTCTGCACAAAAGCAAAGAACCTTTGTCCAGAAACAGTGGTTGTGAGCAGAGAGTGCCCAGCCTCAGTGGGGGGTAGTTTTGTTTTTTTGTTTTTTGAATCATAGTAGAGGTTGGGGGGTGAAGGAATTTTCATGCTTCAAGACCTTGATTGGCTGGCATTTGTCTAGGAGTGTCTAGATGAAAGGGGAATAGGTACATGCTGGGCTCAAGGGCATCCAGTGATCTTATCTAATCGTATTTAATGGTTGGGATGTTTGAAATATCAGGTACTTCCCCTTAGATGCTGGCCCTCTCTGGATGGTATCAACTTATGACTTTTACTGGAACCTGCTACTGTCTGCCAGTAAACTGAAATCAGACCTACTTTTTAGCTGACTTTTATTAAGCCTGCCATGGCAGCAGGCAGCAAGCAATATGCCTAAGCTCTTCTGGGCCCCACAGTAATGAGAATCATTTAAAACGAAAGTAAAAGAATGCTGGAGTCTGTAATGAAGTCTGTAATGTCGAAGTTCTGGAATTTTTTCTGCAGCAATGATTGCCATGTGGTCCATACCTCATACTCCTCCTCTCCCAGCATCTCTACCATGTTCTCTTTTGTGGTGCTGGTGATGGAACCCAGGATCTCCTAAAGGCTAAGCTGGCACTGTGGCGAGGGACTCCATTCCCAGTCTCACACCAACGCTTCAGTAGAAGCATTTTGATTACTAAGCTATGGCTTGGGCATTTACATTTTGTTCTTGGCTAGGCAAGTTGGCAACATCCACAGATATAGCTGTGTGTTAGGATCCACAGCTTTGTATTCCGGCTGAGTTACCCACCATCCCATGTCTCCCAATCTACAGAAAGTGCACACCAGGACACCAGGCACAAATGCATCCTCCCAAATTTCTCCAGGTAAATCCAAAAAATCTTAAGCAATAAAGTTCTTCCTGTTTTACCCTCCACACCAGAGATAGAAGAGGTCAACAGTTGGTGACCTTCATAGGAGTACAGCCTGTCTCTTTGCTATCCCATGGGCTAGACGACCCTGTGGGTGTAGGTGGAGTGGGGATTCCTGTCCCAGACACTGTGAGGAGCTAAGTCCCACATCCCAGAGAAGAAAGGATGTTGGTTGGGATTTCTTCCTCTGCCACCTTTTAAATTTTGAATTTCCTTTGTAAATATACGCAATAAAGGGGTTGCTGGGTCATATCATTTTTGAGGCTTTTCGGCTTGTCCATAGTGTTTTCTATTATATCTGTAGTAATTTACAGTCCCCATAACAATGTGTAAGGCTGCCTTTTCTCCACTTCCTCACCAACACTTGCTTTCTCTTGTACTTTTAGTAAGTGTCATCCCAACAGGTGTGCAAGCTGCAAGCTGCCTCCTCTGGTTTGTTTTGCTTTCTCTGGTGATTAATGTCAGTGAGAATGGCCACTCTTGTGCTTCCTTTGGAAAAGTGTTTAGTCAGTTTCTGTCTATGATTGCAAATTATTTTTCGAGAATAACAAGGAGAAAATTAAGAAACTTTGAGAATAACTTCGTGCTTCCAAACTGCTGGAGATCAGTGTACAGCCCAGGCTAATGGTCAACTCATTATTCTTCTGCCTCAGCTTCCTGAGTACTGGAATTACAGATGTGCATCACCACACCCAGCTTTGCCTGTTTTACTATTACTTTTGTTATTGAGTGTGATTTCCTGATGTTTTTATATTACCCCTTATATGACACATGAGTTGTATGTTTTCTCCCAGCCCCTGGGCAACCATTGCATTTTGTTGTTTCCTTTGCCATGCAGACATTTTTCAGTTGTTGTAGTTTCATTTTTATCTTTGCAAGTCTGGGAGAGTGACAACCTCTTAGGAGCATGTAGGTAAAGGGGGGGGGCTATGTTTGAGATTTTTATCTTTTTTCTTTAAACTGTGGTTAGAGGCCAATAAAGGATCCAGGGTAGCTCCTGTGAGCAGAACTAAGGCTAGCATTAAGTGATGAAACTTGTTCTCTAGTTACATACACCTTTTCTTTCTAACCCTCCTGTGGGAGCTCACAAGTGACTCAATTTCCATCTTGAGTCTATTCTGACTTATAAGTTCAGCTTGCTTGCTCCAGTCTCCTTGAGCTGTGAGAAAGTTTTGATTAAGCTCATGAGAAATGACACAGTATCTAGTTAAGATGCAGGCTGCTGATGCAGCCAGATGTACAGTGTGATAGGAAATGAAACTGCAGGCAGTCAGAGACACGTGAGAAGATAATGAGACTGCCAGTTCCTTGGCTCAAGGAAAGGATTAGGAGGTGGTCAACTGACTATATTGTGCTTTGTTCTGCCTTCTGCCCTTAGTACATAAACAAACAGGTTCTGAAATAAACTCATATATGTTTGGTGTGCTGAGAAGTACCGACTCTGTCTGGTTATCTTTGTCTTTGTCTTAACCCCCGTTTCAGGTAACCCAGATGACTCGTTGGAACAGGCTTCAACACCTGCCTTCCTTTACTGACCTGCTTCTTAGAGGCTGCCATTCTAGACTTGTTCCTTCCTACTATTGGTGGTTGCTGCTCAGAGGAGTGATCTCTGGTACAGCCTAAGAGTTGGCTTGGGACTTGTCCCCAAACTAGGGATGATGACCGAGAACTCAAGACATTTTAGGCAGGAAGCAAGAAATACTGGAGAGTGACATTTGATTACGGGAGAGGGAGGGAGTGAAGGTACTAAAAGGAAGACCAAAGGAAACAGAGAAAGAGAAGTACTGTGCAGCCATTTCCTCCAGCTAGAAACACATAAAAGACAGAGGCAGATTATATTAGCTCCCTTTTCTGCTGCTGCAACCAAATAACTAATAAGAAACATTTAAGAAAGGAGGGATACAGTCCATCATAGTGGCTAAAGTATGGTGGCAGGGGCATGAGACAACTGGTCACATTATTCCCACAGTCAGAAAGCGGAGAGGTATGAATACTGGCACCCAGTTTCCCTTTTTACTCAGTTGGGACCTCAGGGATGTTACTATCACTTCAGGTGAGTCTTTTCAGTATAACTTTGCTGGATATGTCCTCAAGGACAGTCCAGAGTTGTTTACATGATGATTCTAAATTTAGTTAAGTTGACAATAATTAGCTACTGCAGACTAAGACCCCAGAGAAACAGAAGGAGAGTCCTGTGCAGTAGGTGTCCAGTTCAGAAGCAAGAAGGCAGAATGAGTAGAAAGCTCCAGCATGGAGAGCCATGTTTCCCTGACATTTACCACACAGAATATGCATGCCTGCGGGACAGTAATCACTGTCCTACATTTACACTGATCTGTGATAAGCCACAACTTCTAGGTGGCAATGAGGATGAGTGAAGAACAGGTACACAGAACAGGCACTGAATTCCAAGTCTTTGGACTTCCTCCTTTCAAACCAAATGATTTCTTTTGTGCAGTGGGGAAAAATGCCAGGATGCAGTTGCCATGCCAGGACTGGTAAAGGACTGGGTTTAGACCCCACATCAATCCTGGTTCTTCTTTATATCTTTAAGCCAGACCTGTAACTGCTGGAAGATTCTCTGTAAAGAGGTAAAGAACATTCTGGAAGTCAAAACTCAGCACTGGTAAAAGAAGGGCCATGCAAGTAAGTATGTAAATGAGAATATAAACTACTCAGAGCCTTTCTCTTACCTGGCGCCCCAGCCGGAGGCTGGGAGAGTCTGAAGGTCTCATAGGTGCCATATCGAAGCAGTGGGAGGCACTAGGAATTAGAAGGGCTGGCTCAGAAGGTCCCAAGTCCTGTGTTACACTTAGCACATGCCAGGGATCAGTGTCCCCTGGAAACAAAGGAGAGGATGGTGTTGAGCTGGGGCTACAATGATGTTGTAGAGCCAGGTTCTGGTAGCGCACTCACCATTAACGTACAGTACTTGGGTGGCTCCAGGGGTCTGGCCACCATAATAGCTGTTTGTCTGGGCCACAGCCTGGGCAACAGATGCAGCTGAGAGACCAAACACTTGTTCACACAGATCTAGATGGGAGGGCAGTGCTGGGAGCTGGGAAAAGGGACACTGAGGACCCTCACAGGTGACATCTGTGGAAAGAGCGTACCTTTAAGTGTGAAGAATACATATAGCCAGCCCCCTACTCTCCTTCAATAATAATTTATAAAACACTGCCAGTGACCTCCATGAGCTCACAGTTCTGTCAAACAGTCTCACACATCCCAGATCATGACATCCCTGAGTGGGGCTGTGATGGAAAAGGACAGGAGGTGGGGCTCCTAGAGAGAGCCCAATGGGCTCAGGGAGGGTATCCTGCAAGAAGAAGGACTTGGGAAATTTGGATGGTTGAATCAAGCAATAAGAAGAAGTGGCCAATAGGGAAAAGAGAACGTGTAATGGTTTAGAGGGAAGAGAGACTCTAGAATGACTGGCTCTCAAATTGGATCATGTCTCTCCTGCTTAAAATCCATAGCTCACAGTCTTCTGGGTAAATCTGACTTCCGTGGCCTCACATGAATTCTTTCCTTCCTACACCATTTGCTGACCGCCTACAACGTACTCAGACATATGTTGGGCAATTTTGAGCAGAAAGTGGCAACCAAAGTAATTCCATGCTCTGTTGTTATACAGCACTTAGAAGGGAGAAGGAAAAAAATATGACAGATTAGAATGTGCTAAAGAATACAGAATAATAGAAGTGGGACACAGGTGTTTTTTGTTGTTGTGTTTGTTTATTTGGTTTTTTCCAGACAGGGTTTCTCTGTATTGCCTTGGAGCCTGTTCTGGCACTCACTCTGTAGACCAGGTGAGACACAGGTGTTTGTCTGGAGAAATGATGGAAGATATTGGGGAAGTATATCCTGTGGTGAGAATGGAAGACCAGCAAACCATACAAAAGGGGGACTAGATCATTCTAGTATATTGAACACAATATGTCAAATTTCAAAGCTGATGTATTAGGCAGCCTAAAATACATAAAGCTATGTAACAGCAACAGTAAGAAAAGTACCACTGTTAATGTCAGTTTATGGATGCGAAACTGACTAATCATAGTGAAGCACTAGCCCAAGTTTGTTCAAGAACACATAGACAGGAAATAGAATTTGAACATCATGCCACTACCCTCACTTGCCTTCAAAGTGCAAAAAAGAATTTAGAACTCAACTCTGAGCTGGGTATGGTGGCACATGCCTGTCATGTCAGCACTCAGAGGCTGAAGCAGGAGGAATACTGTGAGTTTAAGGTAAACCTGGGCTACATAGTAAGACTCTGTCCCACAAAAGAAAACAAAGGCTTAACTCTAGGGTAGGACAAACGACAGGATACCTATATTCAGAAACACAAAACCCCCACTTCTTTTGTACATGTAATGTTTAGTTTTTATCTGCAATGTTTGGTTTGTTTGCTTTCTTCAGTACAGATTTAACTGATCATTCTATATTCTGTCTAGCAACTCTAACCTTGGGTCACTGAAGCACAATCTCATATATAGGAAGATTTCTGTGGCTATGATATAGAAGTCAGACTGCACAGGTGAATTTCAAGCCTAGAGACCAGAAGAGGCCAGGGATCCAGGCAGTAGTGTGGGGGTCTCTGGCAGGACCATAGAGTAAGAAGTAGAGAAGGGGAAGATAGGTTGCAAAGTGGGCAAGACTCAGTGCTTGACAGAACATCTGGACAATGGGGAGGAGGCATCAAGATAACGTTTCTAGCCCAGTGACTAATCAATGCCAGAGACTTTCTGGATACAAAACAGGAAACACAAGGAAGGAGGGAAGGAGGTGAGGAGGGAGGGAGGGAGGGAGGGAGGGAGGGAGGGAGGGAGGGAGAAGGGGACACTCAGGTTGAGGCCTGAAGTGTGAATGTTAGAAGGCATGTCACATACCAGGTGACTGCTTACATTCTCCAGCCAAACACCTCAGAGGTTACACAGGGCCTAGGAGTCTGGTTAGATGTGACCATGAGTTCAGAGCATCTGGTTTGGGAGTTAGGCAGGTCACTCACAGAAGCCGAACTCAGTGCACGTCTGGTACAACCACTGCCGGTCTCCCACGCCAGATACTTGAGGTTCGGTGGTTCTCAGCTGTGCCACTGTCTCTGCACGGGAAAAGCTTAAACACCTCTGGCCCATGCTGCGTAAGACTATCTAGGGGACAACACATATGTGCATACATACATAGACAAGTTCCCCTCTCCTAGCAAGCCAGGGCACCACAGGACTATAGTAGAGTTACAGGTCAAGAGTGAGAAGGGTGAATTCCTGAGTTTTCGTGGGTGTCAGAAGTCAGTGGGAGGGAGGTCCCTGTAACTAAATGTCCAAGGTCTTATCATCTGTGAGACCCTGGGCAAGAGTTAATGGTTCTACCTGTTTGCTCTTCTGTAAGTGGGGTATTAATAGTGTCTGTCGCTTGAGAAACGTACAGTTTTGTAAGGTATTCTTAAAGAACTTGGTTCAGAATTAGAGCAGGGAAAGTGCTGTAAACGGGGAGTGTAACTGTAAAACGGGGAGTGGGGGCTACCCCTAGAACTCTTATCTCAGAGCTCCCCCTTCAATCTCAAATACTGTTGTGCACTTCCTGTTTGCCAGACACTGATGCGGCCAAGAATAATAAGATAAAAATGATAATAACCATGGTCTGTAACATTTGTATACTGTTTGTTGAGCATCTGCCTGATTGCTTAATAAGCTAATTTTACTATCAGCTGGGTGAAGTATGCAAACCTTATTTTACTAATGAAGAATCTAGGGATAAGGGGAAGGTTTCGGTTGTCTAAGCTCAGCCGAGGTGGAAGCGCAGCCTTGGTCGACTAACTCCTGGCTTGTGCGCGCGTCTGGGTAGCTTACCTGCACCGCTCGGCGAAGCCCAAGGTAGGGCGTGGAGCGACTGCGGTTGCCGGAGTTCCCGAGGAGGAGCCCACAGAGCTGGCGCACACTTAACGGCGCTCCCGCCTGCCCGTCGTACTGCACGGTACCTCCCACCAGCGCCTGCAGCGCCCCCAGCAACTCCCCCTGGTCTTCAGTAAGATCCAAGGACCCGCAGGCGCCCAGCTCTTCTCTCAGCACAGCCTGAGCTGCTGGGCCTGCGCGCAGAAGCCGCTCCACCTCTGCGAAGGCTGCGGAGGCGGCTGCCAGACACTTCGGAAACGGAGAAGCAACGTTCACGGGGGCCTGGGTTTTCCCTTCCTTGGAATCGCATCCTCTTGGGGCGGTTCCCACCCTGGGTCCATATCCTCTCTAAATTTCTCCTCCTGGTCTTTTGCATCTTCTTTAGGGTTCTACTTTCTACTTGCACTCAGGTAAACTAGATAGAGGCCCCACCCTCCGACAACTCCTTCCTTCACCTGCCACTCCCCTCCTCGGTCCCGCCCTTTCCTGGCTCCTCTCTAGCCCCCAATCTGCCCCTCCCTCTGCTTTGTACCCACTTCCCACTACTCTACCCCCTTCCCCACATGGCGCCTCCTCTCTGGATGCTTCCTCCTGTCTTCAGTTCCAACAATCCCCAAACCTGCCCGAATCCCGGGTCCTGGGGCTAAGGCTGTCCGCAACCCGGCTGCTCCCCATTCTGGCCGGACTTTCCGGAGCTCTTCCCGCTCCCTCTCCTTCCTCCACACTTTTCGGCCCCCGCCTACCTCTTGCGATCCTCCTATCGCAACTTGCGTCAAGCTTCTGGCCACCACCTGCGGCGGGCAGGAAGGACGTAAGGGAAGTGCGGGCTTGGCGTTGCCTTGTGGTCCCCGACCCCCGCCACAGGCGTCTTACCTCGTTGTAGGCGTAGAAGTCCAGCACCGCACTCAGCGGTGCGGAGGAGGCGACGGCGGCGAAGACTAGATGGGGGAACTACGAAAAGAGGGGCGTCAGCCTGGGCCGAGGAGGAGTGCCCGTGCTCCGAATCCCTTTCCGGCCCCAGTGACACGCGTGGGTAGGTAGCGGCAGGGGTGTGCGCCCTAATATTCCTGGTTCGGACACCGGGAGGACTTCTCCACCCCCTCCCACTCATGGAATCCCGGGGACCTTCAACCGGGTCCAGGTGGCCAGAGAGCCAGCGTAGGAGCCTCCGAAGCAGATCCAAGGGCTGGAGGAGGACACGTTGAGGAGGCGGGAGAGCGCCTGGCGGGCGGAGGCCACGTCAGCCAACCTGAAAAAGAGAGAAAGTTGGACCTTCCACTCCCGGGGACCACTCCCGTGCAGACTCGGCCGTTAACCTAAGCTGGGCTCCAGGCTTTTTTCTTTGCTTATGCCAAGGGAGAAGACCCACCTACCTTCTTTCAATACCCATTTTAGGTGAGAACGGAAAAGTTTCCTAGCACGTTAGATTAAAAACTTAACAAAAATAAAAAGAAGCAGGGTTAGTCAAGGAGGGCTCCTCAGAAGATGAGGGTGATTGGATGGGCTAAGGAACTGGGGGCTGTGAGGAACCCAAAGCAGAAAGGAGAAAGATACTCGGGTATAATGTCCTTTATCTCCTCAGTCCCCTCAGCTTTTCTGAGGTGGTTCTCAGCCAGTGCCATGTGCTGTCCATTCGAAACCAATTGAGCTTATAGAGAAGATTGAGAAGGAGAGACAGGGAGAGATGGAGACAAGACAGGGACAGTCAGGGAGACCCACAGAAGAAGAGAGGTACAAAGTCAGAAAGAAGGGATAAGCCTGTTGAGAGCATTAAAGCCGGTGAGAGGTTAGAGAGAGAAATGGTGGGGATTAGTCACAGAAGTGGGGCGCACAGAAGGAGGGACGTAACATGTATCTGAGAAAAGGCTGCTTTTTGGAGAGAGAAAAGTTCCAAAGCTTGAGACAATGGATCTGCCAGTGTGTAGCAAAAATGGGAGTGTAGCTAAGCTGCTCTGAGCAGCAGGGGAGATATAAGGAATGATCTTGAGAGTCATGATCCCATTTATGCTCAGACAGTATTCCGTTTTCTGCATGAAGGTCAACGGGCAGAAACAGGATGTGGTTATGATGTTGCTAAGATTCTGGTGGTCTGGAATAGAAGTCCACAGTGAGAGCTTAGTTTTTGGACAGAAAGACAAGAATGGAAGGCAAGAGAAAGGTGGAAATAGAAAGGGTTAGAGATGACAGGTGAAAGAGTAAGAGACTATGAAACACAGGGAAGAAGAGGGGAAGCTGGACACTCAGGGTAGTGGACAGTAGCAGAGAGACACAGCCATGGAAACACTAGCAGCATTCTAGTTCTGTAATTTCAAACACTTTATTGATCCCCACTCACGCATGGCGGCTGGACAAGTATCGAAGCTGGCCCATATCTAGGCCCCCAGAAGGCATACTCAGACCATAGAATCTGTGTTCCAGGCTTATCACCAGGGCCCCCCAGGGAGGGGCCAGTGCTACAGGATGCCCTGTGAAGAGCACATGGTGGATGTGAGTTATGAGCTATGAGGCTTCTGAGATCTCACAATAGTGTCATTTGCAGTTCCCCTTCCTTGTCTCCAGCTCCCCAAACCTTGCTTCTTACCTGCCATCACTGAGCCAGGCCCAAGGCTGCCCTCACCCCCTAAATGCAGAAATACCGGTGCGTCTTGGCCAGCTCTGTGTCGATCATTCACCCAGTACCGCTAAGAGTGGGGATGAGAGAGAAGAAATGACTCAGCATCCTGACTCCCTTCTCCTTCACTCCAGCCTTTTCCCTAAGAATGTCTCCTTCTACTTAGTGGTGTCTTAGTTGGGCTTGTCTAGGTTATGTAACTATAAAAGGAGATGTTTTGGGGCCTGGAATGCAGAGGTGGGAACTCTAGTTACTGCCTAGCTTGCTGTGGTTTTGCAGTGTGCTCAATAAACTATGTTTCCTTTTTTTAAAAAAAGTAGGTGTTTTTGTTTGTGTTTTTATTCTTAAATCCTCAGGACAGAGGGATCTAGCTGGTACATGGTAGGCACCTGCTATTTTGTGAAGCATTGTTAGTGACTAAGTAGATTTAGGAGTAGTGGGGCAATCTTTGGAGATTATGTACAGGGGAGGCAATAGAAAAGTCTAAGTTTGTTTATTCCTTCTTGTGATCTTTGAGCACCTGTCTCCCTACTGGTTTCAAGGCTAGTTTGAACTTTTACATATTAACATCTGCTGGGTCGTCCCCTCCCCCCAGGCAGTCTTATGTCACCCACACTGACCTTAAAATCATTATGGAGCCCAGGCTAACCTTGAACTCCTGATCCTCCAAGTTCTGGGACTACAGGTGTTTAGGGCAAGGTGAAAAGAGGGGGTCAGCGGGTCAGGGGACACAGACTAGGAATAGAGTAAACTGACAGGCAGTACAGTGAACAGTGGCCTCCTCTACTAGCCTTACCTGCAGGAAGGTTCTTCTATCAGATGCGTTAAAGGGATCCAGTGGCTGCTCTAACCACCCTTGTTTGGGGACAGCCACATGATCCTGGCTTAGACCAAAACCCGGATTCAGGCTGGAGCTCTCTTGAAAATTCTGAATGTGTTCTCTCAGGCGCCTGAGAAGCAAGGCTGTGAAACAGGAAGGCATGGGAGTTAGGCTGGACTCTGTAGGTCTCTCTACTCGACCCTCAACCCCCTCTTACCTGGAGCTGACAGCCCCCAGAGGGAAACCAGAAGCAAGAAACCCAGCCATGGAGCCTTGACTGCCATTCTGTCTAGCACTCTGTGCAAGGAAAGGTTCAGGCACTCTATTTTTCCGTCACTGAAAACCTATAATATGTCCTCATGGCTGGGCTTTACTTTCATGGGAAGCTCATGTTTCTTTTGGGACACCTCTCGTGGCAGGTTAGGCGTCCTTAGTAACCGCTAAAGCGTAGCCAGACGCTAGAGTCTGCAGAGGTTGGCTGACAGGCAATACTCCTGCCCCTAGCTCTCTTTTCCTCTGGCCCCTGCATCTCCTCTTAGTGTGCTTCAGTTTCTTCCTTGCCACAGTCAGGGTTTTCCCGGTTCCTTCCCCAGTCCCCATTCCTGCTTTACTGATCTCCGGTTTTTTTCTTCCCTTTTTACCTCAGGCCTCCTCTTGCATCCTCATTTCTCCCTTACTCTCCCTTACTCTTAGTCTTTCCCCTGCCTCTCAGCACATCTTTGGTTGTCCCTGCAATCAGTCTCCCTCTGTTCTTTGGTCCCAGATTTTTACATTATCTGCTTTCCAGGCTTCCCATATCACCTCCACCACCCTCTCTGACCTACACAATCCTACCATTCTTTCCCTAAAACTCCTTACGCTGTGAACACAGCAGGCCTATGCTGCCTCATAATTCTTACCCTTGTTTGTCCTCTCTGTGAGTTGATGTTTCTTCATAAATCCATGGGGATTGCTCCTTGACTTTTAATCTTTACTGTTCATAAAGAACAATTTCTTACAAAGGCAAAATGAGCTGGGATGGGGTAGAATGTTTACTACCACGCTTGGCATGCTGGATTCAGCCTCCAGTACCAAATTATCCAGGTGTGAGGAAAGACCCGGACACCTGTAATCCCATCACTCAGGAGCCATGTGGAGGTGAGGATCAGAGGTTCAGTCATCTTCAGCTACACAAAGCAGGTGTGAGGGCAGCCAGGGATACAAGAGAAAAAAATGTTTCATTGACATTTTATCTTTATCTTTCTATCCAGCGTGATGTTTATTCACTATAAGAAGTATTTAGATTTAAAAGTATGTGTATTACTGCTTTGCACCATGTATGTGACTAGTGCCCAAGGAGGTCAGAAGAGGGTATGAGGTCCTCTGGAACTAGAGTTCCGGATGATTCTAGGTGCTGGGAAGAAAAGCTGGGTCTTTTCCAAGAGCAACAAGTATTCTAAATGGCTAAGCCGCCCCTTCAGGCACTAATTTTGAGAAGTATTATGCATATTTTCATATGTGTGTGTGTGTGTGTAGGTAGGTATATTTTGCTATCCCTCTAACCAGAAAGCAAGCTTTAATCAGCTTGGGATTCATGTTTCTTCCTTTACTAAACACTAAATTCCACCAACAGTGTACAGTGTACAGTGACCATAATTCATCAATTAAGTTTGCTACCTTCCCTCTTCTTAAAAGCTGTATCAAGGATTTGGGGACTTTCATATTTCAGTGATTTCACTTCTGGTCCACCACTGATTTATCTAAGATGCCTCTTAGAAGGTCTCCTCTTTCTGCCATATTTACACTCAGCAGACAGGAGATGCCATTAAATACAGGCCCAGCTATTCCCTTCATGGTTCAGGGTACACTCCTGACTCCACATCTTACTCAAAGTAAAATCTAGAGCACTTAAAGTGGCCTTTGAAGCTCCACATAACCTATCCCTTGTTACCTTCAGTTTCATTTTATACTCCCTTACTCTTGGGCTCTTTCCATCCATGCCAAATTGCTTGTATTTCACAAGTTTGTCATCTGCACCCGTCACAGTCCAAGCTTTCTTTAAATCTTTAGGACAGTCTATCAGCAAGCATTGGTAAGTCTGAATCTATCACTTTCTATACTTTTCCTTTTCTATTGTAATTTTTTTCTTCAGTGTTGCAGATTGAACACAAACACAAAAATAGGGAACATAAGTAGTAAAGATTAATTCTTTGTACTGTACTGAGAGTGGGCTCTAGTCTAGTGCAACAACATAACAAGGGGTTAAGCCTCCCCTTAGGAGCGCTTGATAAAAAGTGTGTATCTCAAGTTCCCTCAGACAATCACTGTCAACAAGGGGCAGCCTATAGCATGGAAAAATGTTTACTGGCTATACATCTGAAAGAGAATTAGTATCTAAAATAATAAAAAAGGTAAAAATTCTAAATGCTTCCCCGACCCATGGGACATTCAACGAGGGTCTGCAGAACACCTAGGAGAAAGATAGGGTACGGGAGATATGAGAAAAGAGGACAGACACCAAGACAAGTGTCTAATCAAGGCAACAGAACTTTATTCTTTCCAAGGTATATTTAAGGGGCTTGAATGAGGAAGTGAGAAGGGCAGCTTCAAGGAAGCTGTCAGGGAAAAAGGTCAGTGGGAGAGGTAGCCCTCTGTGCTGCCTGAAAACCTAATTGACAGGGCAAAAGGTCAGGGGTAGAACCTCCTGAGTTGCTAGGTAACCTGACTGTAGGTCCTTGCTTTATCTATCTGAATCTTTCCCTATTGTCCACACCTGTCTCCTGGCTGGAGGCCCCTGACAAAATGCCAAGAAAATAATTTAATTAAAAATTGGGCCATGGAACTAAGAATTCTCAAAGGAAGAAATACAAATGACTGAGAAATGTATATATATATATATATTTAAATGTTCACTCTTAGCCATCAGGAAAATATAAATTAAAACTACTTCGTGATTTCCCAGAATGGCTAAGATTAAAAAGAAAAAATGGCAGCAAATGCTGTCGTGAATGTGAGGAAAGGAGTGTAAACTGGTATGACCATGGGAATCATCATGGAGTTTCCTCAAAAGACTAGAAATAGATTCATCACATCGTCCAGACACATCACTCTTGGGCATATGCTCAGAGACTGTACCCTCAACTACAGAGATACTTGTTCGTTTGTCTTTATTATTGCTTTAATCACAAAGGCCAGAAGATGGGAACAGCCTAGATGTCCATCAGCTGATGAAAACAGTGGTACATTTTCACAGTGATATATTATTTAGCTCTAAAGAAAAACGCAATTATGAAATTCACTAGTAAGTGGCTAAAGCTAGAAATAATCACTCCTGGTGAGGTAACCCCAACCCAGAAAGGCAAATATTTTTTGTCTCATGTTGATATTAGATTTGAATCTTTAGATGTTTGTTTAACTTAGAATACCCACAAGGGAAAGGAGATAAAGCACAAGTAGTATGAAGGGGTTATAGAAATAAAGAACAGAAAGGGCTAAATGAAGTGGAGTTGGTGGAGGGAGGTAGAGGAAGGAGTGGATGCCCTAGAAAATGGCATATATAAAAGTCTGCTACTGTATGAGTCTTCCTCCTCCTCCTCCTCCTCTTCTTTTTCTCTTTTTTGGTTTTACCAGACAGGATTTCTTTGTATAAGAGCCCTGGCTGTCCTGGAGCTTGCTTTGTAGACCAAACTAGCCTACAACCCACAGAAATCTGTCTGCCTCTGCCTCCAGGGTGCTGGGATTAAAGGTGTTCAACAGCACGTCTGGCTTTGTATGAGTGTTCTTAATTATATGCATACAAACACAACACACACACACACACACACACATATATGGGGATTCAGGGTGATCTGATGACTTTGGTCTCCACAGCACCTGAACTCACATGTATATGTGCTCACACACATATATGCATAATTAAAATATACCAAAATAGGTATATTTTGAGAGATGGCTCAGAGGTTAGGAGCAATGGCTGCTCCTTCAGAGGTCCTGAGTTCAATTTCCAACAACCATGCTCACAACCATCTACAATGATGGTGCCCTCTTCTGGCATTCAGGCATACAAAAACTGTACATGAAATAAATAAAAATCTTTTAAAAATATATAAAAATAAAATAAATCTTTTAAAAAGTAAAACAAATAAAATAAATGCTTATGTCCTGCATTTAATTTCTCACAATGATTGTATCAATTTTTTCAGAATTTATAATCTGCTCAATAAATTCAAGATGGTACAATAGTTTATTTTTTATAAGGATAAAATAAGTTTATATTTACAGTAAAGAGAAAGCCTAACTTGCAGTATAATCTTACAGGAGAATGTATAGCATACTTTTTATTTCCATGGAATGGAATCAAGGACTAAGACTGAGGCTACATAAACTATCAATTAACAATTGCAGGGAACAGAGTCTGGAAAAGACAACAGAATGAGGACTAAACAAGGGAAATTTTTCATTGTGACCTGTTGGCTGGAGTCAGAACCAGTGCTGGATCACGCAGTTCCAGAATAAGAGCAAAAAAAGTGGAGCTGGGAAGGGACCACATGTAAGTCAACATTAGATAAATCCCTAGTGGTCTTTATGTACAAACCAAATATTTCTATTTCTTAGAGATATACACAAAAAGAAGACTTGGCCATTACTTCATGAATCTGTCTGCAAAATCCACATCAAAAATAGAAGAAAGTCACTCAGATTCAGATTCAGATTACACTCAGTAGCAGAATCTAAATTTGACCGCTGGCCCTCAGTACAAAACCTTTACCCCAACTAAGTCTCCCACCACTACTCTTGGTCTCTAATAGTAGATTCCCCTTTTCAGACTGTAATGGCTCCAAGTAAGACTGACTGACTTAAACGACTTACATGACACCAGAATGAAACACACTAAGGACTCTACAAGTCTGTCCTCACTTTCTTTTCATACCAGTATTCGAGGAGTTTTTTAACCAGCTTTCAGAAATGGGGGTGGGGCGGCGACCAGACATCTGGAGATTCTGGTTACTTCAACCCGGTGTTCTTCAAAAAGTGGGGAGCAGTTTAGATTCACAAAGGCGAAAAAGAAACAGGTGTGGGCCGGGGGCCGGGGGTACCAGGATAAGAAGCCGGACGTTCTCCGCGCACTGAAGGAGCTGGGGAGAGGGTTGGTCAGGACACGATGTCTTCAGAAGTCAGCTTGACTGACTTTCCACACGCACGCACGCAAAAGCAGCCACGCTGTAGTGTTTTGGTTTTATAATTCCTGCTGAGGACAGGAAGTTCCTGAAAGGAGAACATTAAAACAACAGTGGAAATGAGGAAGGAGAGAGGGAGATAGATAAAGTTTTAAACATT